CCTCATATGTAGATATTGAAACAAAAACTCCGATTAATAATATTTTACCAACAATTAAGTAACTTTTTGTAAATATTAAAACTTTAAATTACATACATTTATTGCACGTTGCGAAAACTCAAATTAAATCAAAATTTGCTTGATGACATTGCACCACAGTTCCATTCAGTGAGCAGCAAAAGTTATCGCACGGCACGAGGTGTGTACAAAAATACAAAAATGTGGACAAAGCCTGTCGCAGGTAAAACAAAAATTATTTTAAATAATAAATTATAATCAACTTGCAAATTGCGACCGCGCTTCCAAAGCAAAAAATTGTTTGAGAAAAAGCTGAAATTCCGTGAAAATTCCATAGATAAAATGACCCAAAAATGCGCCAACAACAGTCGCTTTCAGACTATCCCGCCGTAGTATATGCTGCTGCAGCTGACATAAAGCAAGTAAAGCGAAAAGTGAGATTGCAGCGAAGATCGCAGTAGGTATTTGCCAGCGCATCGCTGGTGTGTGTTACATCATGTTGCATATTTATGTAGCATACTTACAGGCGTTTCAGCAAATTGTTTACGTTGCATTCAATATTTGCGTTAGTAGGTTTTATTTTTTGCATATGTACGCAGAATTTTGTTGATTATTTGTCGGTTACATGAGTTTCGTTTGTTTTTAGTACAGCTATTTACGTACGCCAATGCAGTGAGTGATGGAATTTATAGGGTACTAGCGGGCCCGACGGACGTTGCCCTGTCGAAAATTACTTACTAATTGGGCCGTGCAAAAACTGAAATAACATTAATCACTCGTTTTATTTGAAAAGTAGACATTCACAGTTTAAAACTTGCCACTCGCTTTTCGGCACATACTAGCCGCCCTCATCACACGGGAAAGAACTCAGAAAACATTTTCTTTGAATCTAAAACAAAATTAAATTTTTCGAATTATAATTTTATGGAATATTTAGGTTCACAGTTTAATTTTCTTAATTACCTTTCATTAGATGCCAATATTGCGGTTATATTTTAATTAAGTTACATATTCAACTGATTTTTAATTTTCAGATAGTTGGCAACGCTATCTAGAAAATTCATCGGACTCGGTTTTCGATTTTTTGCTAAAAATCTTCCACGGAGAAATACAAGAAAATTACTTTTTACCGACTGAAATTCGGTAAGCCGTTGTATGTTTATAAAGCAATAATCATTTGTCGGAACCGACAAAATCGAACGACTATAACATATCGAGCCCTAACCGCCAAAATGTTCCAGTTTTTTTTGTTTTTGACAGAAATCGATTACTTACCGCCATACGTACCAGCTGTCAGAGCTTTCAAAGTCCTACGAGGTACCGTTACGAAGTTATATCGAAAGCACTTTAAGCTTAAGTGCTTAATTGTATGTACTCTGTTAAATCTTTTTTTTTGCGCACGCAGTGTCGGATAAGCCTTTTTCTCCGTAAAAAATGTTTCATTGCAAAGAGGGAATTGTTACATTTTTGTGTGAAAGTTTTGAAGTGCCTCTATTTTTCTTCCAAACATGGACTATGTATTTGCGCAAATAAAGGTAAATACATATATGTATTTGTGTAGATTAAGATTTTTAATCAAAAGGATAAAAATAGAATATTAAAACTACTTGTTTGTTGTAGAGCTTAACTAAAGGCACACTCGCTCCATACAGTGACACCGATTCTTCTGAAAAGTTAGTAGAAGAGGAAAATTCTGTTTCCGTTTCTTAAAATATTGCACTCCTGCAAGGCAAAGAAGGCTTATCCTCTGCCCTTTGAAGCTTTGTCGGTGGAGATGGTTGTCCTGAAAAGTAGAAGTTTGCTTAAAACGACAATTTTATGAAACACGTAAGGCCGACAAGGATAAGTAGAGAAAATATAAACTTTTTCAGCGTTGAGTATAACATCAAACATATTTTGCATTACGGAAGAACAACATTCTTTTGTATTGTTTATGGTATCAATGACGCATGTATTTGTGTTGAAGAGTTGTTTTCTTAATAACAAGAATTAAAAAAATGAGTTAAAGGCATCAAATGGTTTTTTAATGCAAAAAAAAACAAGTTTTTTTATATATGGGTCATTCTATACAATATTTGCACCTCAATATTTTTTTTTTTGCGGTGGAATATCTTTTTTTACATTCTTTATCGAAAAGAAGAAGACACCAATTTTTGTTTTATTTCGCCGTGATATTCGAAAATCTCGGAGAAAAATCCCGAAATTTTTAACTTACGGCGAAGTATCTTTTTTCAGTTGTTTGTAGTTAAAAAACTATTTGTCGGAGAAAGCCAGTTAAGGTATCAAAATGTGCGCAATTACCTCGGCTTTCTATGAGAGTGTTAGATAGATTAAAAAAAAAAAAAAAAAAAAAAAATGTTTGCATGAAAAAATTGCATTTTTTAAATTTTTTTTTATTATCTATACCATGTTCGATTTTGAGTTTTGTCAAACTATATGGAGTACGCTGTAAAAATTTGAGAATGGAAACACCAAAACAATAGAAGTTACACGTTTTTTCATACCTGCGTACCTAGGTACATAAACTTAATGTATAATCTTTATGAAGCTGCTCTCTCTTAAATCCATATCGCCCTTTTTAAGTCTCATTTAAATAAATCTATTTTTAGCTTAAATCAACAGTTACAAAAATAATTGTAAAGCGAAAATCAAAGCGTTTTAATTTCCGTTTCAATGCTTGAAGATTCCATTCACCATTTTCCGTCTGCGCCTCTGGCCGTACACAACACTATGCACATATGTATACAAAGCATCAGCGTGCGCTCAGTAAGCTTTGCAAAGTTGTGATTTTCATAAATCCTTGAATGGGTACTCGAACACATTAAGCCTTTTGCACATTTCGAGGTCATTTCTTTGTCACTGATTGATCACTAAATGACAGCACAATAGCCACAATAGACAGGCTGTAGTAGAGAAGGAGCGAGCTGGCACTTATTTCTGGATTACATATTTGTTTCTTATCAGTATACGAGTATTATAAACGGTATCTGCACTGAGTATGCATTTTGTAATATGGAATTTAAAAATTTTAGTAGACTTTTAAGACCGCATATTAGAATATCCGAATATCCATGCGGATTATCCATTGACACGGATAAAATCCGGATAGTACGCATATCCGGTTAATATTCTTTTCTGCCATTATTCGGATATCCGGATTTTTTTTTTACGAAATCATATTTTTTTCCCCCAATACCAAGGTTGTAGAACCTTTTAATCTGTTTGTACGAACCTTTGAAATTCACAAAATAGAATTTTGAAAATTTGAAAATTTAAAAATTTATGCAAAAATTTTGTGCGTGGAAATAGAATTTTGAGAATTTGAAAATTTAAAAATGTATGCAAAAATTTCGTGCGTGGAAATAGAAAACTTGTTACTTCACATGTATGAGCGCCTGGTATTAGGAAATGAAAATATTTTTTTGTTTAGAGGGCTGCATGAATTCATTCAAACTTCTAGCCAAACAGAGTACAGTAGATTTTAATATTTTACTTCGCATATAAAAGTATGAATAAGTATATATGTATTTTGTTTTAAATCTTCTACCTTCAAATGGAAGAATGTGAATGAATGAATGAAAAACATTCATATCATTCAAACTCATTTCGATTAAAGTTGTTTTTCACAAACAAGTTTGTTCGTATTGTAATAGGAGCGCAACAATACATACATACATACTTATGTATGTTTGTACATACCCTGCAAACCAAAGTTCCCGAAATCTTAACGAAATCTTTAGGAGTATCTGATTTCTGTAACGATTTTTTTCCGAATCTTCAAAGAAAATTATATGAAGTGGTTGACACGAACTCGTAAAGAAATTTCTGTACGAAAAATAAAGAAAATTCTGAAAGAAGTCTGCAAGAAATTCTTCACATAGCAGCATTATTTTCATTTCTTTACCGATTTTCTTCCGAAATTTCGTAAAAGAATGGAAGTGTGCGTAATTTATTTCATTTTAGAAAATTCGGCAAAAAATCGGATGGGATCTTTCCGAATTCTTTAAAAATTCTTTACGATTCAGAATACTCTAAAAAAATGGTTTGCAGGGTATGTACACAGAAAAAATGCTTTTGGATATTCATACAAAAAATTGTCATTTATTTCAAATCAATTTATTTTCACTTTGTTTGAATATTGTAATGTCGACACATATATCAGAACAGGTATTAACCGGAATTCAAAAAAATTGTAAGCCAAAATCATTCATTCATTTCGTACATGAATTATTCATAAGCCATTTTGAATGAATTCATGCAGCCCTCTAGTTTTGATCAAATAAAACTTGTAAATTAAAAAGATTGACTAGCCGCAGGAAAATAACACATTTCATTACTTTGCCCTAATGAAAACTCCAGTTATTCGAATATCCGAATATTATCTTAGCTTCTGGAAGATCCGGATTTTTCATTTAGTTCTCCGGATATTCGAATACTCGGTTTATCCGGCTAGTTGCAAAATCCGGATGATTTCCCCAGCCCTAATAAGTATGTGTGAAATGAGTGCCTAAAAGTATACAACATAATATGATATAGCAACTTGTGCTTTTGCTTATTAGCATTTCATTCGACTACCTGGGTTGCATAGGTCTCCACATACATAACAACACTTTTCAAACAACATATGAAATAATTTATTAAAAGCGCCTGTTAGCTTTTAGTGAAAAAGTTTCTCATTCCATAAAAACTACACTCAGTGAGTTTATTTTGACAAAGAAGGTCAATCTCGAACTCATTCTTTCTTTCTGGTTTCCCTCATTCACATCTCTCACGTTCGCGCTATCCTCGGCTCCCTATTTGCGTTAAGCTAATCAACAGTATTGAATGCAAATGTTGTCTATAGTAAATATTTAAAGTGTCCACAATAATGTGTACTTATGTATGTGTATTTATTTATTACACAACCCTAAGAATTACATTTTTTTATCAACTAATTTACTACAATTTCTCATCCTCCCTTCTATCTCTCTATCTTTCTTTAGAGCTCCTCCGCGCCTTAAACGCCGAAATGTCTGCCAATGGACATGAACTAGGCACGCTGCCTGAAGAACCCGATTACGCTGATACGGTATTTAACGAACTAGAAGTGGCAAATAAATACGAAATGTTACGTAAATTAGAGAAAGACTTGCGCAACGAACAGGAAATTGTTACCAAATCAGCGTTGTTAATGAAAATGCTTGAGGATCCAAATTTACAAACGCTGCCGGTTATTTATGTGGAAGAGGATGAGGAGGAGACATCAGAAGAAGACGTTGCTACAAACAACAATAATTTGGCATATCAGTTGGGTGAAGTGGGTGGTCGAGGTGTGGCCAAACGTTCACGCTACTATCGGCGCTATCCATGGAAGAGGCACAACCGAAATCGAAGGTAGGAAGGGGGGGAAAGACGGAAAATGAGCAATGAGTAAGGGAATAATTTGAAGAATTCTTATTTGCTCATTAAAAAAATTTGATTTTAATTTGATTATTTGTATTTAAACACTTGATTAAGGTGTTATTCTTGAAGTGAAACTTCTTTAGCGGCGGTGGTGAATTGAAAAATCAAAATGGCGAATGCAATGGGTATGGTTGGGGACCAAAATACCACCCAATGCTTTAATATTGATACTGAATAAAAGAAACATGTTAAGCGTCGATTTAAGAATAAGATTGAGATTCAGATTATTTAATACAAGGACGAAGTTTAAGTTCAACATTTAGATGAAGAAAAGGTTAAAGACAGAATTAAAAATAAAAGTACGTAGAGATATATACAAAGATGAGGATTAATTGAAATAAGTCATGTATGTACAAAGGTGAAGGAGAATATGTAGACAAAGAATAAAGATAAGATAAGGATAAAGAAAAAAGGATAAGGGTAAACTTAAAGACAAAGAAACGGATAGAGATAGAGACAAAGATGGAAATATAGAGAGGGGTAGAGATAAAGATCAATAGGCATATCTATATATATAAAAATGAAATGTCTTGGGTATGACCGCGATGCCTGACCAAACGGCTGAACCGATTTAAATTCTGTAAAAAGCACTTTTTTCGTTCTTCTGTGTGGAAATTTTTCGATTTAAAATAAATCAAAACTTTTTATGTTTGTTGCCAAAAAATTAAGAAAGCTGAGACGTCACGATTTCACAATTTCATAGAATTTTCCGTATATTGAATGTCACTAAACTACCAAACGGCTGGACCGATTTCGTTCATATTTGGAACATATGTCAGCACCTTGAAGGGAAATATTTGGACTAAAAATTTAATCGCTAGGTGGCACTGGTGTCTGGATTTTTCTAAAAACTGCATTTATTTGCATATTTGGCTTATATTTGGAACATTTGTTAGCCAATTGAAAAGGAATATTTGGACTAAAAAATTACATGATAGGAGGCCCTGGGTTCGGCATATTCCTAATGTTCTTATACAGTGGGAGAATAATGGATATCTACACATATACATACGTCACAATAAAATGTCGAAATCCCTATTTTGAGGACACCAATATATCTCTTAAACCAACTACGCTGGGGAACTGAGACTTGGCACGGATGTATAAATTGTAAATACCCTACTTATGGCGAAAACTGGGGCTGAAAACTGAGCTATTGGAAAAGGGGGCGTGGCACCTCCCATACAAACTGAACATCTCCTATCGCTTATCTCTGGAACCGCTTATGCTAACGTCCTGAAATTTAACCTTCCACATTTGACCACATCCGTCCAAGTAGGGACAGGGTTGGTATATCAATGGCTTCATTTGAACGATATTCAAGAGATCACACGACTCATTTAGCCAATGTACGGGAAAACTTTTCATCCTGTGCGGCAGCGAGGATCCTTGGCCCTCTTATAACAGAAAACGCTCTTCTGTGCTCTTATGTTTCCTTATAAGGACTTATATTGGCACCGCATTTTGTAGTTGCAAGATCAAAGAAGATTATGCACGATTGGCAGAGATTTCACAGGTGGAAATAAGACCATCGGCAAAATTTATAACATCGAGAGGAATTAGTATTCCATATGGCATCAAAGCGCTACTATTTTTGGCATATGTAAGAGGAGGATTCCGCTATTTAGTTGTTTAAACTTTTTCACATTACATACCGTTTTTGCTTTTAAACGCTATTTTTGCATTGGCCCATGCAAAATTTGTTATTAGGCACCGCGAAGCAAGCGGGAATTGGCTAGTATAAATATAAAATTGAAGATAAAGACATGGTCACCTTATCTCACCACACTTCAACTCACCTCTACGTATTTCACATCACATCGCCTCAACGCATCTTAACTTACCTGAACTCGCCACTACTCACCTTAACTTATCTCACCTTTAATCACCTAATCCTACCTCGCTACAACTCGCCTAAACTTACTTCACTTCACCTCCACTTACCACAACTCAACTCACCTGATCTCAACTCACCCTAACTCACTCAACACAATGTTACAGGACAATCCTGTATCCTCACCACAGTCCTCCGAAACACAATAGTCTTTCGTAAGACAATGGTCAATTCTGGCAACAATCTGAATAACTCTTTACTGTATTTCAAAAAACTACTTGAAAGATCGCCTAACGAGGTGGTCTTAGCGTTATGCTATTGGCCTTTTAGCAATAAGTTTTTTTTCTATTAATTTTTAACTAAAAGAAAAATAAATAAAAATACATAAATAAAATTAAAATAAAACAAACAAAAAATAATAATATTTTTAAAAATTAAATATGATTTAAAAAATGTTTTTTTTTCTATTAAAATAAAATCAAAAATTAAATTTAAAAGAATGTAAATAAAAAAGAAGAATATTAAGAGTTAAAAGAAAAGAAAAAAGAGTTAATAAATATTTTTAATTTTAAAACAAAATTTACAAACTAAACAAAAAATAATCAAAGTAAAAAGGCTAAAAATAAGATAGAATCCTAGAAATAAAGTAAACTAAAAACATATGTATATCTTTATGTAAAAAAAATAATATCTAAAAGCTAACAGAAAGTGAAATAAACAGAAAAAATAAATTAAATTAAAAATAAATAAAAATAATAAGTTTCTAAAAATTATTTTAAATTAACAAAAATATTTCCTTTTTCAAAATATGAAATCCAAAAATTAAAAGAAAATGAAACGAAAAACAGAAACAAAAATTATTTAAAAAAGAAAAAAGTAAGAAAGGTTCCTTATAGATAAAAGAAATTTCTTAAATTTCATTTTAAATGAATAGCGTCTTAAAACTAAAGGAAAATTAAACTAAGAAAAAATAAATTAATTAAAAGAGAAAAAGTAAATAAAATGAGTTTCTAAAAATTAAATTAAATTAAAAATACATATTTTTCTTTTTTCAATCCTTAGCACCTACGAACCTGAATTGCGTTACGCTTGCACACCCTCCAAGGAGGATGTCTTCAAGTTGCTGATGAATCTACACGAAAATCGCAAAGGCAACCATAGTAAAACCGTGAATTTCTGTAATCGTAAACGTCCAGCCAAGGCAATATTCACCAACATACGTTTTCTGGGCTAAGCAGAAATTATCAAAATGACAGTTCACTACAAAAACAACTCGTATATGGAAAAAAAACAAATAAAACAGCTACGGCGATGAGGCGATTGAAGAAGCAGTGATTGCGACATAAGGGAAGATTGAAGCAATTCTTTACAAAAATCTAAATAGAATTAATAAATAATAATAATTTCAAAAACAAAAAATTTACATGTGTGTGTAAAGAAAAAATGCAACCCAGCAAATTGTAAAATATTTATTTAACACAAAAATTGAGAATCAAAAGATTTGTAAGCTCTTCTTGCAGCTATTTTGGAGTTTTTGCGTAAAATTTTAGCAGAAAATTTCAAAAAAGCTCAACTTAACGCTAAAAAAAAATAGTATTTTAAACAAGTATTCCACAGAAGGCAGCTATGTATATTAAAACAATGTAGTGCAATCGTATTTAGCATTAAATATTTTAGTCAAATAATAGATGTTTTGGCAATCAACTTTTGAAAAATAATATTTTCGGCAACAGTTAGTTAAAAATAAAGATTTATAAAATTAAAAAACTTTTTTCCGCAGAGATAGTATTTAATATTTAATAAAATTAAAACTAAATAAATAAAAACTTTTAAATCGCTACATCCATATTTGTAAATATTGTATGTCTTAGTTGTCTTTGAAAATCAACCAACTGAATTTGACTGAACGCCGTGTCAAATGAGAGAAAGTTAACTGTCACAGAATTAATTGTGTTGTATGTATTAATCAATTAATTAATAAACACACACAAACACAAACAAAGCGTACTGCTTACATCGCTTAAATCGTAAGACCCACTAATCACTGGTGTCATAGAAGTCATATCAATTAAATTTTTCCATTTCTTTAAGTCTTATATGTATGTACTATATACCATAAGAAATGGCGAATAATCTGATTGTTCAGTTCATATGTATATGTAACTACTTGTATGTACTTATTGCATATTTACTAAGTAAGCTATAAATTATTCACTTATACATACGTATATTAGAAATAAGCATACGCAAAAAAAAAAATATATATATATAAATAAAATACAGCTGAAGAAAATAAAAATAAAATCAAGTCATGTAATCTAATTTTAATTCAAACTTGTACATATTTAATAAATATTTACTGATACCTACTAGCCAGTGTGAATTTTGTAGGTACATTTGTACCTTTTTCGGTATTTTTTCAATTTCGTCTGCAATCAGGCATGAATTCAAAAATTTAAGAATTCATTTCAGCTAAGCTAAACCGCACATCAACTATGCATTAGGGAAAGCTGAGAAAGTTGCCGTACGGTCTCGATATAAATGCTGAATGTCGGAGGTCTTTAACTAGAGCGCTGGCAGGTATACGTGAGTGTGGTGTAAGCATACGTGTGTACGGCGCGCCAATCTGGTATGCAGCGCTAAAAAGGATGTTGCGCGCTCACAACTACTTCAAAGGAGGCAGCGCTGGTAATCGCAGGGCTATGGCCGATTGAAATAATGGCAAGGCAGATATTAGTAGACCTTGATGGACGCACTAAAGAAAAAGTGAGGTAAAACTGCTTGCAGCAGTGGCAGGATCCTTTGGACCCATTCGAGACGAGGGGGCGTTGGACATATAGACTTATTCCAAGCAAATTACATAACA